TAAGCTTCACACTCCCCACCACCCTCTACTGAACAAGAAGTTGGAAGATGGAAGGAATGCAAGGATGACAGTAACCAGCAGATTCTCCCATTGAAGCAACAGATGGGTACATAATTTAATATAATGTTTTACATACTGATATAACAACATAAGGATGAACTCATCTTAAAGAAACGTCTCAAGACCCATCTGTTCCATGAATTCACCAACCTGATGCCTCTCTGGTCCTGTTTATACTTGGTTTTAAAATGGGTCTTGGGCAATTATAATGCAAGTAGACAGCGCTAAATACAAGCGTAAAGACCACCAAGAAGTATTGTAATCGGATCACTCAGGCCACTTGCCGAGGTGGTCTGGGACTAATTTGACCACATATCTTTTGTAGCGTAAACGCTAATGCATCCTGCATGTGTTGTTACAATAACTGTGTGGGGCAGCAACGAAATATGAATACAAGTGATCAGCTGGACACCTTGGAGAAGAATGATAGACACAGGTGTAAAGGCGTCTCTGCTGTCTACTTATGATCCGATTGCCCATTTTAAAACCATGTGTAATGGGGACTTAATGTTCTTATGCAGCTCCAATGCTGCTTGTACTTGTGCCGGGACTTTAATTGGGAGCTCAGTCTGGCTACACTTACGCCTTGCTGACGCCATGTATGTCTGTAATGTGCTATTTGCCTCACGTGTACATTGCTTTGGGCAAAAGCATCTGCTAAATACATACAGTGGTACCTCAGAACTCGAACTTAATCCGTTCAGAACTCGGGTTCGAATCCTAAAAAGTTTGAGTTATGGTCAAATTTTCCCCATAAGATATAATGGGAAACCAATTAATTGGTTCCCGGCCCCAAAAAATTACACCTAAATATGTTTTTTTTTTTAGCATTTAAACACAAAATGAACAGAATAAAACAAGAAGAGCATATACTGTACTAAACACATCTAAGCACATTCATGGCTACCAAAAAAAATTAACCTGGAAAAAAAAAAATAGCAATCTTAATTTTTCGCAAACGCTGCGGCAACACTGTACGCCATGCGTAACATTTTTTTCTTAATGGCTTCCAAAACGATAAAGAATGTACTCCAACACTACCCCAAGCCATGCCCCAACACTAGACTATGCCATGCGGTCCATTGTTTATTTTTATTATTACTCTGAATTTGTTCATTTGTTCGTAAATTGCAAACTTTTAGCCTGTAACATTTCTAAAACTATTGCATAACTTTTTGGTTCGACTTCTGAGATTCAGATCGAGTTCTAGGTCATTTTCTTTTAATTGGTTGGTTCAACTTATAAGAAATTCGAGTTCTAATGAGTTTTGAGTACTGAGGTACCACTGTACATGTAAATGTATCTTAAACCCAATGAGTTGCACTGTAACCCACCCTAACTGTTAATGAATATCGCGCATACTACAGCCACGTGATTCTGCAGTGTCAGAACAGACTTCCGGGGCACAGATGAAAGCATCAAATGTGAAACAACAGGCTGTGTCCCTAAGAAAGTGCAGCCACTGGACTGTGGAATGATGTGGAAGCAGGCTAGGAGGGGACGTGAACAGGGAAGGCGAATGTCAAAGCTTGAGGAAGCCTGGAACACGTGCACATTAAAGGATCTTTGCATTTGCACCTCACATTGGTCCACTGAGATAAAACTTTCCCCTTCGCATTTAATGATGCATTTGTCTAGGACAGAGACTATCACTGTCGGCCAGCACAGCCTGTGATAATCCTGTCATCTCTGGCGCCGGCTATCATGGAGGGTTGTCATGGAAACGTGCAATAAAAGAGCTATAAAGGTGCCACAGGGCCAAGGGAGGATGAGGCTTTAATAAGCTGTCAAACCCATTATACTCAAAGGATGCTGTGCTGTCACACATGACCACCAGATGGCGCCTGGTGGGCATTCGGAATTAAAAAGTCAGACTGCTCTGAAGGACCTGACAGCACAGAGCCCATGGAGCTCCAGAGGTCAGCCCTCGTTTGCCCCTCAGCTTTGTGCTTCAACTGCTGCATCCCTCTGTGGCAGCTAAGCATCCTGAATCGTGGATGTCACAGGCCTTGATAACCAATAGGTAATTTACGCTACTTCATCACACTCTGTAGTGTATAATGCGACTCTCTGATCGCACATTATATCCCCTGTCTTCCTGACCTGTCTACCCCCTGTAATGTGATGTGTGTATATGTATGGTCGGGTTGATGGCCTGCTTTCCGCTGGTACTTGTGACTAGTGACATGGTGCATTGCAACAGCAATAAAGGTTTTTTTTTCATCATCATCTCTGATCGCACATCACCTAAATTGTTCCCTGTGGGACAATCGGACTATCGGGGTGATTATGCCGGAAGAAGCAAAAGCAGCGAGGCTGGTTCACCGTGACAACCCCGGAATCTGCGCGTGTTACATGGGTACTGAGCTCATGACTCACTTCCAGCTGCCAGTACTGCGGCGGCTGGCTGAAAGCTGCACGCGTCGGCCTTCTCTGTGGGTGGCCAGCACACATTTCAGCTTAACCACTGAGTGCAAGATCGCTGTGGGATCCTTTGAGGGGTTGGCTTGCTTTTCCTATGGGATGCTAGGGCACCAGCTGAAGGCCAGAGCTGGATCAGCCCCATCTCTTTGGACTACCACTGCCCATAGGAGTGACCACCTTTTGCACTCAGCAAGAGAAGCGTGCTTGACACAGGTTCAGCTGCGCTAAGTTCTGACCTTCAGCCATTCGGTCAGAAGTGGGGAAAAACATCGCGCATGCTGAATAATGCAGCCGCAGCATTTGTGGTGGAATGCCGGCCGAGTCCCAAGCCATGGTGTAATGCGACCAAATGAAGACCAGCAGTGCCGGACGGCGTCCACCGCAGCACTTGACGGCACCCTTACGCCTGCTTGGCTTAAGCAAGGAGGCTTTGCTGGCATGTAGGTGCGTAGAGGAGGAGCTCAGTATGTCCCCTGACTGAACCAGCCCGTTCCACAGTGCCACAACACTTTAACATCGCCTCATAGTGACAATGCCTCCATGGATCAAAGACCTGTCATAGATTTATTTCGTAGACCGCCTCAATCTTAGCTACGATGACGCCCAATCATGCAGTTTATACCTGCGATGCCTCACCATCAGTCTCCGTGTCCCCCATTCACAATGGCCATTCACTCCTGACTCATTTCAACAAATCTGAGTCCATTTCCAGACAGCCTCAAAGCCCTGCTTCCATCACCTCTTAGCATCCGTCCTCTAGTTCTGCAAAAATGTAACAAGTTACCGTGGCAACACATTTTAAACGAGAACATACTTATGACTGTTACTCTCTTCTTAGTTCACTGTCGTTTACATTTAATCTAAAACTGCTCGGTGCATGAGCTGCAGAGCTTATAAGAGGCTGCAGATCTAAGCTGCTGCCAGAAAGACATAAATATGTAGGAGGGATAGCAGAAAGCCACCATGCGCACCAGGCTGAGCGTCTCTCCGCAGATCAGACATCGCCAGCCGATGTCAGACTTCATCCGCTCATGCCGCTTGGCTACCCGGATCGGTCTTTAAGCTTCGTGACTGAGTCGTCTCGCCACTGTCCCCACTTGAGCGGCAACTCTGCACATTTTCTCGGGTCGGCGGGCAGACACGCCTCTACTGGGCCTTTTCGGGTTTACGGGTATTTAAATCCTTGAGCTGAACCACTATTTCAGGGAATTCTGCACTCTTCCTACATGAAAGCCAGATTACACCCCGCCTCTTAATTATAGGAAGCTGTTAATTATAGGAAGCATTTATGTTAAGCCATTAACCTTTACACCTCAAGCAGATGTAGTCAGATTGGCTTGGTGGCGGCAAGCGAACAGCTCTGCGTTCCAGCGTTCTGTCAGACTACGCCTCCCAGCAATTTTTAATAGAATCTAAAGCCTGTATCCTGCACTTGATGCCAGTAAAGCACAGCACAAACAGAACTGCATCTCAGCCCCAGGGGTAGCAAGCAGGGCAGAGCTCTCACAGAATGCAGATGTTGATAAGTGCAGATCTGCTGCTTAATGAGGTGTCATTGGAGATTGTCAGTGCCCCTTATTGCTGTACTTTGGCCATATCATTCAATAAATGTCCATAGAAATGAAAGAGCAGTCCACACAAAGATATGATTACAGGTCTGTGCGTGTGTGTGTGTGTGCGCACGTGTATCCATCATCTGAATTTCTTCCCAGGAAACTCTCACTGACATGTTGACATAAAGCCATTAAATTTTCACACCAGAAAGTCTCAATAATGTAGATAGTCTCTGCCTAATTACATTAATAATCCAACCATTATTCTCCACATGACTGATGCCTTTTTAATTCAGTGTGTGAAAGAAACACGAATGGGGGATTAAGTTGTAAAAATATATCACTATTATCAATGGGACAGGAGGGTAAGTTTCTGCCACGAGCTGCACGAGCCGGAAATACAACAGGCAGGGTTACATACAGCCACCTTGCGACCCACTCTGCGTGGTCTGCACCTTACAACCCATGTGCTGAAGCTGCAGGCCCGGATATTTAAACAAAAATGGTGGGGTCACCTCTGGTGTCCAGACCACTCTGCGCAATGAGTATGTTCTGAGAAATTGTGTACAGAGGTCAATACACAATTGTAGCATATAATCTAACTGTCTGCACGTATAAACGCGCGCATGTGGACAGTTAGATCATAAAAATATAAATGTCTATAGAGCAGTGTTTCCCAATCCAGTCCTCGGGGACCCGCAGACAGTCCGTGTTTTTGCTCCCTCTTAGCTCTGGGAGGGAGCAAAAGCATGGACTGTCTGTGGGTCCCTGAGGACCGGGTTGAGAAGCACTGCTATAGAGTGAGAGCAGCACAGGAGAAACCATCTCAGCCAAAGGAGCAGACACACCTACACTGTATGCTGGGTTCCAGGTTTCACTCCCAAAGACAAGGACACACCCACATGTCCAGACGGAGTGGACTCACCCAGCCTGGGGAGACACACAGCATAGCGCACCCCTTACCTGTCCCGCCCCTCTGCACCGTGAGCGTGGCCTCAGCGCCCACCGGGCACTCCTTCAGCAGCTCCACCACCTGGGCATGGCTGAGGGCCTGTGCGGGCTGCTGGTTGATCTCCACGATGAGGTCACCCTCCTGCAGGCCCGGGCAGCCCTGTGGCTCCAGCACCTGCTTGACGCGCTGGCCGGCGCCGCTGTCGGCGATGGTGAACCCGAAGCCGTCGGCCCCCTTCACCATGGTGATGGTCAGCAGCTCGGCCGGGGTCGCCCCAGAAGATGCCATGGAGACATTGTCCTCGTGTGGCGTGCTGTCCAGGTGGGTGTCGCCGGGGTGGGCCTGCAGGGGGGGCTGCTGCTGGGCAGGGGGCAGCAGCTCGCCGTGTTCCTGCACGAACCGCGCTGTCCGCGAGATGTACTCCATGTAGCTATCATAGTTGTTCCTTCCGTTGACCACCAGGGGACGCTCCATCAGCCCCATGGGGGAGATCATGCTGCTGGCCGGGTCCTCCGGGTCGTAGGGCAGAGGATAGCCACGGCACAGCACTAGGCTTACACTCTGGCCAATCGGTACAGACTGGAAGAGCTTGACCACATCGGCATGGGTGGTGCCCAGGACACAGACATTGTTGATGTAAACGATGACATCACCTGGAGAGACAGGAATCACGTCACGTCCTCAAAGAAAGGAGCTGAAGATCATCCATATGGATCTCAGTGCCTTCCAATAAAACACTGATATAACTACTTAGCCTAACATACAAATCCCAAAGTTACTGTTACACAGAGACACGGTCCATTTCCTTCCATAAGAATACAGACACTCCCCACCTAACGAGCCACCTGTTTAAGGACCACCCAGACTCACAACCAGCTCTCTGACCAGTCGGTATTGTACGCTGTCATTTCTATTCTGATTGTTCTGGTCTCTGATTTATTTGGGTCAGTGAAAGAAGGCTGTATATTGTTTGCAGTAATTGACCTTTATTTTGATATGCCATATCAGTTTACACTGATCTTGTGATTGACTTTTATTGTGATCCATTGCCTTTAGTTTGATGCATGTGCCTTATATTGTGGGATAGGGAACCTCCAGTAGCATGTAAAGCATGGATGTGCGCAAGGTTCAAGTTTTCCCGCCTGACTTCTCTTATGTCTTCAAAAGCAATGGCTGTAAGTTTCATTTACTTGTTTCACATCTTGTGAATTATGTATTTTCTATGGACTGTTTTTGTTCGGTAATGTGCAAAAGGACACGAATTTGCAATAGATGCCTATATATGTTAGTGTATCATTTATTTGTGATTCGGCTGAAGATTAACGTTAGCGCTAACCGGCCAGATTGTTATGACTTTGCTATACCAGATAAGAGATCTAAGTCTTTTCTGTGTTTTGTTCATTACAGTCTCACTCATAGATTTTCACCTGTCACGTAGCGGGAACAGTACCCTGTTTATTACAGTATAGAGTACACTACTGTATTAACATTTATAAATATACTATGTACCAGCAAAATGGTGCAAGATTGACATTGAAACCTTATCTAAAGATGGCTGACACAAACCCACTACCAGTACAGTATGCCTGAAGTATCAGTAATATCTGCGCTTATCGACCAATCCGCTTAACGACTTAGTCGTAGGAAAGGAACTCGGTCGTTAAGTGAGGGGACTCTGTACCGTATAGAGCATCTCCTCTGGCTGTCAGACAGACTGTGAACACGGTGCTTATTATGGGACCAGGCAGAGCGTGTGCACAGCCAGGCCTTATTTGTGTAAGACGCCCCCCCACACGACATTTCCCCACCCTTATGATGCTCACCCTTCTGCCCTGAGAGACTGGCCTGCTGCTCTCTTATTGGTGGAGAGGTGGGTAAGATGACTGGCAGGAGGACATATTCACTAATGATGTCAGGTCTGGATAGCGAATGAGCGCCGAGCCACGAGTGCAGTGACACTGTAATCAATCCCCGACCTTACAGTCGACAGCCCAGCCCACGTGTCCCAAAGCCAGAAAGCCAGCAGACATGGAGCGACCTCGTGGCGTCCTCAACATTCACAACGTCCACCTTTACCAAGCCCCCCCGATGGTCCACCCTCATAGACGCACAAGCGTGACTCAACTGTGTAAAGGCATGCACACGTTGCCTCACAAACAAACACACACACACACGGAATGAAAAATGGAATGAAAAAGTATCACTGACTTTCACATGGTCATTGAATTCTGAATCACTGGAATTAAATTTTTAAGACGTGTGACCCTGACGCCCTGAGAAGAAAGAGCAGGTGTGGAAATGAGAACGCGGTCACGGAGCAACTGCTCAGACCTCACCGTCACCAGCATCTCGTGTCGCTTCTGCAGCACACTGTTAGCATAACACGTGGAAGCAAAATCATCGCAGCTAACCATTTACCACTATGTTTATAAATATGCATTAGACCAGAAGACAAGCGTTCCAAAATGAAGGAGCTCTTCAATCCAGCGAAGTCTGCGAATGTAGCACAGAGGTACGGTTTGGAGCCTAGAGGATGGCCCGCTGACAGGCAGCCCCCTCCTCCCCGCCTCAATCGACGGTGCTGGATCCTCGGGGCGATTCGGCAGCGGGGCCAGCAGCAGCCAAATTAACAGCCGGAAGCCCTTCATCTCCAGCATGCGATAGGAGGCCAAACTAGGGCAGGCGCTGTGTGAGCACAGGCCATGCGCCCGCCTGGCCGGCGAAGTCACGTGGGCACCTCCCACGACAGCTTCGCTAGGTAGATAATCTCACCCCGCTCCACAGACTCACTCTCAGCATCAGGCCTAACGTGCCTGCAGACTGGGATCATCATTGATCCATCAACCTGCAGCGCATCCCAGGGGTCTGCTTAAACAGAGCAGCGTGACCTGGGGGGGGGGTGGGGGACCGTAGAGAGATGGTGGGGAGGCCTGCGTGTCTGTGCAGCCGTGATGCAGAGCCTGACTGCAAGGATTGCGCAGTTTAACACGTCACGCTGTACTTCAAGAAAACAAGCCCTGATGCACCCTAGGAAGTCTGAAATTAAGTGTTCTTTCATGAGAAAAACCTTTCCAAAGTAAAGAATAATGCATGCAGCTAGTATCACAGCCTACGAGCTCTACTTGACATTTAATAATAATATGCTGTCGATCGTCACCAGTCCCAACTCAGGTTGTGCAATCACTTCGCCCAGGCTCATGCGTTGTTCAGATGGTAATGTCACTGGTCCTTTTTACTAAATGGGCTTATCAATTATCCAGACATGAGGCTGATTTTTGGTTCTCTAGAACAGGTTTCCCAGCGCACCCTGCCGCTGAACCTATCAGCACCCTCTCCTGGCCCCATGGAGCACGCCGACACCCTGCTTTGGTCCACAAAGGAGCCAGTCAGTTGTCACCATGTTTGCTAGCTTCTGTCACTTCCAGATGGGGCTCCTAATCAACCCCTGGATTAATTAGCTACTAAATTGGCTGAACCTCCCTGCGCTGCCATTTGGTTTCTGGCAATGGGAAGCATTTCAAGAGGCAGGATGCTGAGGTAAGAGATTTGCTGTTTGAAATCTCCAAAGAAGCTCGCTGACATCTATGAAAAGATGGTCCTAAATATGTCAGGTGTTCAATTATATTTCTAAACTCCCCCAGCAAGACGGGGGAGGAGGTCTCATTCCACACAGCCTTAAGGTACAGGCTGGTCGATCAAGTGAAGAGTGAGTTATTAAAAGAAGGCTAGCGGTACCTCCCCTCATCGTGCCATGAAGGTGAATGTAGCGTGGGCTGTGAGGAAGAGGGCACATGTCCATCTAATATCTGTCATTCTATCACAAAGGTGCCTGTGTCCTTCTACTAGGGATGTACCTGTGTTCATCTACTATTGTTACCTATGTGTTTCCCAATCCAGGCCTAGGGGAACCATAGACAGTCCACATTTTTTCTCCCTCCCAGCTCCTGTAGGACTGTCTGGCAGGGAGTTCGGAGGGAGCAAAAACATGGACCGGCTGTGGCTCCCCGAGGACCGGATTGGGAATCACTGTACAACACCTGTATCCATCTACCATAATTACCTGCGCCCATTTAACCTCCAGTTCCTTGTCACTAAAGCAGATGCAGCTGTGCCCGTGTAACCCAGAGGTACCTGTGTCCATCTTGCCGTCCTGGGCGGCGGGTCCATCCGGGATGACACTCTTCACCTGCAGGAACTCGTCGGGCTCGTCCCCCCCGATGATGGTGAAGCCGAAGCCCATGTTGCTCTTCTGCAGGGTGGTGGACAGGAAGGTGCCCTTCAGCTGGGCGGGGTCTCGTGTGAACAGGGGCTTCTCTGTGAGGAGTGGGCACACACAAGGCGGTCAGTGACCGGACGACGGAGGGCAGGGGGCACCTTGCGAATCTAGGGGGTTAGCGACTAAAAACTGAAAAAAAGTCTGGCAGGTGGCTGTTAATACAGATCTAAGATGACATAGGCACCGATACAGAGGCGTCAGACACAGGACGGCGGCTTTGGCGGGGAAGGCGGGGCTTGGGCTACAGGGTTTTTGCTCCAGTCAGAGGTTCACCCCTAACATTTCTCTTAAAACATTTGTAAATATGCAGCCGCTATTCCTGCCACGGCTGATTAATCCAGGAACACTCCAGGCTGGAGCAAAAAATAAATAAAACAAATACAAAACAGATAATCAGAACAAAAACAATAGGGACCCAGCACCCCTGGTGCTTCGACCCCTAATGAATAAATTAATCCACATACACTGCAGCAGACTGGCATTGGAGTTCATTTGGGGGGGAGGGTCAAAGCAGGTGTGATATCTAACATTCTGTAGCTGTGTTTCTTGCTGGGGAGACAAGTCAGCCTCCACTCAGGGCAGTTATCATTCCAAATGAACTCATTTACTCTACGAGGGCGAAATGCTCACCATGTGTCAGACAAAGAGATTGAAATTTATCGGTTTCGGACTGACCCCTTGACTGAACGGATCTCATCGCAGGATCGCTGCCGATCTCTGTCCCTGTCTGCCTCAGCTCTTTGGTTATCAATTCAGAGATTTTTTTGTCACGATTTGCTCTCGTGTTTTTTTTTTTTGTTTTTTTTTGAGCTGCGCAGCGTCGAAGACGGTCAGATATCTCTGAGGCGCACTAGCAACAGAAACAAGTTCTGCTTAAAAAAAAAGTAAGCATGCGTAACTGAAACAGCAGCCAAAAAAAAGCCTCCGGTGCCCTACTTACAGAGGGAATGACAGCAGAAAAAAGGACAACATACAGGCTGAGAGTGGAGTAAAGGCATATCAAAGCAGCTGATGCTCCAAGCACTTATCCCTCCACTCCACCAGGGGGCATTTGTCTAGGGATGGACGTACCATGAAAGCTGAATGCTCTTGCCCTGCTGTCAGGAAACTCGGACAGGTCGGTGAGGCTGTGGGAACGCTCGGGGGCGGGGCCCAAGTGAGCCAGTTTGGGCCTAGGTAACGTTGCTGAGGAGGGACCCTCCTCGACTGTCACAAAGGAGAGAAACCCTCACTCATTGGCTCGCAGAAAATTTGCAGAGGAGAAAGATTTCCGCTCATTGGTTGCTGGCAGCTTCATAAAGCAGAGAGGCACTCAAAGTGCAAAGTCAATTCTGGTGAGAGGGCATGGGGACACAAGGGGAAAGGATAAACACTCACTCCAGGGTCATGTGTCAAACCTGTCCCCCAGCGTCCTGCTCCCCTTAGCCATGGAAACCTCTGCTTAGCAAGCCATGCAGGGTTCTAGGAATGAGCAAGGGGAGCAGGTAGAGGAGGAGAGGTTCAGCTGGCAACCACAGTCTCCCCTCTTCAACCTGGGGCTCTAAGGTGAAGACAAACCCTGGCTCCTCTGCTCTCTTACCCGTGGATCAGGCAAACAGACAAACTGGTCTGGGCTCATAACGATCCAAAAGATCTTTGCATGCGGATGTCATTTCGTGCACGGCCATTTTCACCCAGCGAAGATGTGTTTGTGT